GCCATGGGATCTGACTGGAGGTTCTTGAAGGATCCTTTTTCCATCAAAGGCGGCCATCTGTTTTTCCCATTGCGCCTGGACACGGCCCTTTCCAGCTAGATCATGATGCACAGGAGTTTTCACTTCAAGAATGCGACTGTCAGTTGGTTGGTTGGACTGGTTTTATGGGGCGCTTCGCCGCTCTGAATCGGCCACTCCCCTTCTTCAGTACTGTTTAAGGGACACCTTTCAGACGAAGCCAGGCAGCGGCAAGCCGCAAGGAGTCTCCAATGTAAGCGCCTGTCTCCCCCTACGGATATTAGCGGGAGGGAGGGTGGGTGTCAAGATCAGATTGATTGGGGGAATCCCCTAAATTGGTTTCATGCCTTTCTCGATCCAAAAGATTGCTGCTGCTCGCCAGAACATCATACCCAAACACACCACCCTCCCCCAAGGGGCGAGCAAACCAGAGCAATCTCACAACGAATTTGGTTTTCGAGGTCGCCCATGATGAAGCTTCCTTGCCTCATGCGACGTTGTGTTCGAGAGGATGCGGACTGGGTTGCAGGCGATTGGAAGAGCTTCGACAGGACGTGTATGGAAACGGAGATTCGCTGTGCTCCCCGTATTCTGCGAGGTTGCTTGTCCATGGGCGATCCATTGACCTTGGCTAGGGGCTTCGTGGAGGTGTGTTTTATCCACACCATTTCTGTGCTTCGCGGCTGGGCTTCTTGGACTTGTGCATTTCAGACCTAACTGGAAGGGTGGAACAATGTGATTGTGAGGCTACGATATTTACCCTTTCGTCTGACCCGTCGATCTTCGCCAGCGAGATTACTTGACGATGATTTTGTCCTTGCAATCTTTCTGACGATCTGCTTCATGGCGTTTCAGTTGGAGGCACGGAGGCCAGCTCCTTGTCACCTGTATCCACGGACAGTCCCTACAGGTCCGGCTTTTGCTTTCGATGCCGCCTGCGGAAACGGGGTCTAGCAGGCGGTGTTTTCTTGCGCGCGGGGTTGAGCACTTAGTGCTTCCCAGCCATCCGGTTCCTTGAGTTTCAAAAGGCTTTGAGTTGGTTTCGTGCTTGGGTTTCCATTTAACCCACAAGCTATTCACTTTTGGGCATCAGACAACGGACAGCCCGGAAAATGGAAAAGGCATCGTCCCCAAGTTGGATCCGGTGAGGTGAAGAAGGGCATGCAGCGCATGTCGACCACCATGAAGGCGCGCGCCTCCGAATTGTTACGAGTTGTACCAGGGCCAGTTGGTACCGGCGGCATTTGTTTTTCAAGAGGCCGGTACGTCTCATCAGCTTCCACGGTTCTTGGAAATGAGTAGACAATTGGCCAAGGGTTTTCGGCGTCAGGGTGGACGGCAGGTTTCCTTTAGTTTGGACATTTCTTAGCTGCCACAGTCTTTGGCGACCCAGTGGACCGAAGCAGGGGGTTCAGCCTCGATTTGGTCGAATGGGGGGCATTCCTGTCGTGCGGGAGCGAAAGGAGGATTCGTTCGGACTTCCACTGCTATCACCGAAGTGGAGGTGGCAATTCCTGCCCTTTTTGGCCGTCTTCGGATTACTGAAAAGCAACCCCCTTCCAGTGCTTCCAGTTACCACCACAATATCTAACCACGGGAAACCATTATGTAACGCCAGGTAAAAAGAAGCACCGGGCTTAGGTACAGCCCTCTGGAAAAAGCCAAACCCTCAGTACTGGAAAACCCCCTACTGGGAGCACGGGACTAAGCAACACCTGAAGGGGACTGGGCAAGACTAGACCATTTGTCCAGTTTGTGGAGGTGTGTTTGGGCGGGCGGTGAGTTTGTGGGGGTCTAAATGGGTTTTGTTGATGGCACCCTTTACAGCGTGGAATGACATCAGAGACTTGGCAGGAAAGGATCTGAGGAATGGGAAAGATACGAAACAAGCCAAGCCAAGCAAATGAAGATAGGATTTGGCAAGTGATCAAGAAATATGATAGTAAAGAAATAGACCTTACATGCTTGTTCCCATCTATTACTTCTGGAAAGGCTAAGATACTTTATAAGACTAGCCAAGCTTCATTTTCTTTCATATTGCTTGGCATTTCTTTTCACTTCTATTCACAGCCTATCTTACCTCGCCATTTCTTCTCATCTGTTAGTGATTGCGAGAGAAAAGGATGTGATGAGAGCGGCAATGAGAGAAGGAATGAGGCCGCTCTTCGCTTCCTTTCCCATCTTGTAAACTTTAGAATGATGGAAATTCATATATTTCATATTTGGCAACTTTAATATTGGCATTTTATAGAAACCTTATGGTTATTTATCTTTCTAGTCTTCTGTCTTTTATTATTTACTTCTTTCTTCATCACTTCTTGCCGCTAGTCTCGCCGGCAGCTTTTCATCCACAAGCTGTAGAAGCCCTGAGAATTAGACTACGGCGCAGATCTCAGAGACAGGACAGATAACGGATTCACCTATAGAAATTCCGTAACTCCAAGTATGAACTCCAGTCCAGATTCTATAAACTATCTCCTGACCATTTCTCGCCGATCTTTGGGGTTAGTTTGTGGGAATCCAAAGGAAGACCCCGCGCGGCATGGGATTGCGGTCCAACCTGAGAGATTCGACACAACGGAAGAGTTCTTCACGAGTTTTCGAGGGGATCCACAGTGACAGGTGATCCATCAGGCGTTGGCCTTCAGCGACAGCGCCTTGGAAAGAATCGGGGGGGGGGGGGTGTTGGTGACGGTGCGAGCCCCCATTTTGGTTACTTGGGATTTTGGCCATGCGAAGAAGCAGGCAAGTTGGGACCTGGGTGATGGTAAGAGTCGCTGTTCGGGCAACCCGTGTTATATTTGCAGGAGTGCAGCCGTTTAGAGACCCCTTGCGCCTAAAAACCGACATGGAAGGAACCCAGGTCCGTCCCCAGGGTGTTTGGTTCTTTGTCTTTGTTTCTCTGGAGTATTTGCAGGCTTTAGGAGTGGCGGTTGTCCTTGAGGGGAAGGCAGGGGTGGAGGTTTTGAGAGCTAAACTCAACAGCAATCCAATTCGATTCCTTGTCTCCTTTGCTGGGTTGGCATTCGTTAAACCATTTGCTGCCAGGTGTCTTCATCATAGTCAGGTCCCAGAAAGCTCAAGCCAGTAAACTCATGTCACTGGAAGAAGCAAGATTTGTGTGGGTTTTACCCAAGAGCTGCTCGTAGTTTTGTCTTTTCTGAGGTATACCAAGTTTGTTTGAGAGGTGGTAAAAGGAGTGAGAATTTGATGCCATGACTTGACCTTTCGGAAACTGACCTCTTGCACCATCAACCATTTCCAGCATTCATAGGAAACACGATGCTCACGCTTTGCGGTGGTTCAAAGCGCCGTCATTCGTTGGGTTGTAGCCTAAACCAAGAAACAAGTTGACACTTCCCCACAGTGCCCATGGTTGTGGAGAATTGGGTGTTAGGGACACTTTGATTCGTGGAGGTTGCAACCGAGAAGGAAACCTGGAGCCTGAAGGCGGAGATTCCCAGAAAGGGTGGGAATGAGAGGTTGGTTCGATACCAGGGAACGGTACCCCGAGAATGAAGAAGTCATCATGTAAGAAGCCCTTCCATAGGTATCACAGAAGATAATTTCCATGATGCTTGAAAGGGTGTATCGGGTGTTTCATAGGGACCTTTGCACAAGTTTCAGCTCTCCGTGTTGGAAGGAAGTTTTGCAGAAAACACCCCTGCCAGCCTCTTAGTCCAAGTACATCCGTGCTAAGTGCGCTTTTTGGGCTGCAGTTCAAGTTTGGGCTTCTGCGTTTGAGCATGCTTGGCCTAAGACAGGCGAATGCTTCATTCACGGCCTTTGGCTTTTCGAACACTGTGTGGATCTATTCTGAGCGGCCTGTTGTTGCTAATTTGCTCACAAAGGGGAATAAAGGGGAACCGCTAGATCCAGTTTGCTTTTGAGGTGGTGGTTGCGGCTTAAGGTAATATCACTTTACGGTTCAAATTCGGTCGCATCGCCTTAGGTGAGGACTCGGACGAGGCGAGGGTGCCGACACTTGGGAAGACATTGGTCTGCAGGGAAAGACATTGGGCGTGGCTCAAAACTAAACAGCTGGGGTTACGCAGGTTTTGGTCTTCGTTTCCCTACACCAAGGTGCAGTTTTGGGCACATTCTTTTTTGAGCCACAGCCACTTCGGGAATCTTTTGCAACGCAAAAAACGGGTTTCCAAAAACCTTTGACACGGCAGACCTTTTTTCATGGAACCGGACGGGCCGAGATGCAAACCTTGGTTGAAACCAGCACGGAAAGCATCGCCACGCAAGTCGGGTGCTTTATCAGAGACAGAATGGGAGCAGAGTCGAAAGGCGTGTCCCAGGACACAGGCTTGCGAAGGTTAGGCCAAGCTCTTGTTGAAGCACGTCACAATTTGGCTTTGCAGGGGGGTCCAAAGACTTTTGGGTCCTGTTAAGAGAACTTTTGCTCAACCACGTTTGTGTTGGCTTTGGTCAAGGGGTTTCCCTTAAAGTGAGGCCTCTTGGTGAACGATGTTCTCCCAACTCACTTCAAGCATCTTCCTCGCGCGGTTGCGCGCACAAGTGCACTTACAAGAGGACTCCAGGCCCAGAAGCTTACATTGCGGCCACTCAAGAAACCTCGCACAAGCCATCAAGCCATCAACAAGCCGTCAAACCACCAAACGACAGTAAACACACAAAAGGCCAGTAAAGAATCAAGCCACCAAACGACCATGCCCAAGAAACCTAATAAACCAGCAACAAAAGCATTTCTTTTAACAACAAAGGCAGCCACGAGCTCAAAAAAAGCCCCCGGCCCAGTCGCCGCGGCTGCGGCTGCGCTCGGAGCCCCGCACCGAGCGCTCGGAGCGCGAGCGCCTTGGACGCCACAGCGGGAGCCGAGTTGTCCATGGCTGTGGATGGTGGCGAAATCCATGTCGCACCACGTTGAAAACCAGGGAAGGCCATTGTTTGCTGGTATTTGCAAAATAATCATCATTCAAAGGGTTTCTTGAGTGGTGCGAAATGGATTTCGTCCTTCTACTGTATAGGTGTCCTTTTGATCGGTGAGTTTGGTTAAAAATAGAAGGCACTGGTTTAGATGTTTGTTTGGTCCATTTATCAGGAGGACCAGGGCCATCTATTGTTTCAAAAGGACGCCTATGCTTGGGTGGACCCCCCCCCCTCCCCAAAGAAAACAAGGAGCAAGAATGGCGATTGCCCTTGCAGCTTCCATTTTAGACACTGTTGAAAAAATGGGTTACTCTCAAGCAGAGACATGCCCAGTTTCTGGGTCTTCGAGATGATTTTCCGTTTCAGGGAGGCGAAGCATGGCTCTGAAGATATTTTTTTGGTGTGCCCAGAGTTGGTTTAAGTTCATGGCGGATTCAAAGGGGTTTTTCCGAGCTCACCGTGACGTAGGTCCGCTTTTTTTTTTTTTGGGGGGGGGAGCCCTTACTTCAGGTTTTGGAATTCAAGAAAAGCAAATGGCCAACTGAACCCAAAATTTCGGGCAAACATGACTTGAAATTGGTTCAAGGTCTTCTTCACACAAACTGTTGCTATGATCCACCGCCACCTTCCCCCTGCTCCTTCAACACAGGATCCTAGCTTCCGGCCTCGAAAAGCTCCCAAGAATCCTGGGGGAGCTCCGCTTGGATGCCACACCTTGGGAAGCTGCAGCCGTGTCCCGGGGTTGCCGGAGGGTGGCCCTTTCATCTCTTTCGCCTCAGTTAAGAGGTTGAGGTTGACCAGTGAGTTGTGGCAGCGGGTTGACTGTTGGAGTGAGGGCTACCTGCAAGAAATCTTGGAAGGCAACTGCACTGAAGAACAGATCCAGTCTGCCTTGATGCTGGAGTATCTCCGGATTCGTTACTGTGGACCGCATTCACTTCGCTAGTGATGGTGCAGCTTTTGCTCCCTTTGGAAATCCGATGCCTGGAATGACACCGACTTCGCAAACTAAAGGTGGTACACTCCCACGTTCTCATTGGACAGCACCTCAAAAAGACGAATTCCCCGCCCCAAAAAAATTCAAAAGGAGGTTCTAAACATCAATCCTCAATGCTGCCAGACACCTTGTGGCATCCCACGGAGTAGGGATGAGGAAATGATATCCCCCATTCTCATGGCCTGTGTTACAATAAAAGACCCCCTAAAATGCCTTTGGCTTTCCTTTTGGGTGTCTTCTTTCTATAAACCTGGAAAAGGGTACCCACCAACAAGACACCATCCTTTCTGTATTTCTTTCTGGTGTCTCTTGAAGGGTGCCCTTTTACGATGTCACCAGTGAAGGCTGCTCTCATATCCCTTAATTTTGGTCGGCAAGCTCTAGTTGCCCCAGACTCTTTTGGACCAACCCAGGTTGCTTTATGGTCAGCCAGTTTTGGATGTGGCCACCCCTCCCCCCACCCCTGCCCAAAACCGACCCCCCCCCCCGATCGGTTTCGATCCGAGGATGTGTCCCCGAAAGCCCCAGCCGCCCTCGCCGGGTGCCCCAGACGGACAGGCCCCAAAGAAACCACGTGGCAGACCTTCCGAGAAATACGCAGATGACCCAAAAAAACCCTCATGTGTCCCATCTTTCACATATGGCCCACATATCCCATGCATCCCATGCATCGCATACATTGCATAGATCCCATATATTCCATACATTTTCATATATCCCGTGTATCCCACAGATCCCATACATCCCATGTCGCATACATTGCATATATCCCATATATTCCATACATTTCATATATCCCGTGTATCCCACAGATCCCATACATCCCATGTCGCATACATTGCATATATCCCATATATTCCATACATTTCATATATCCCGTGTATCCCACAGATCCCATACATCCCATGTCGCATACATTGCATATATCGCGTATATCGCGTATATCCCATATATCCCATATATCCCATATATCCCATATATCCCACACATGGCATATATCTCATATATTGCATATATTGCATACATTGCATAGATTTCATATATTCCACACATGGCATATATCTCATATATCCAACATACCCCACATATCCCATATGCTGCATAAATCTCATGCATTCCACTCATGGCATATATCTCATATAGCCAGCATAACCCACATATCCCATGCTATCCCATCTATCCCAATATTCCCTATCTCATATATCCCATACATCCCATGTATTGCATATATCCCACATACCCCATTCATAGCATGTATGTCAGTATATTTCACATATCTCAAGCATCCCTTATATCCCATGCATCCCATATATCCCATGCATCCCATGTATCTCATTTCTGGCGTACATCGCTTTTTTCTTCTCTTTTTTTTTCCACAAGGAAGGCCAGGTTAAACCGGCCTATAAGGGTGCTGCCAGCATTCCAGTGGCCGATCATTGGCCAGTCACTCTTTTCTTGAGCAGGAGAGAAGGGCGGAGACAGCGCGCCTATGAGGTGGCACGGGGCTGAGGTTTGTTGACACTCCGCAGTCTTCAATCTCGTCGCCACCAGCAAACCTGGCCTGCACACTTCAGAGGCTTCACCCAACCCACTGCCCGCGACGCACCTTCGGAGGCGAGAAGGGAATTCCAACCACGGAGCAGAGCGCAGGATCACACGCGAACTGTACTTTCTGCGAAATGTAAGCTGCTAAGCAATTTCATGCTGCATTTTTGTTGGATTTTCATGACTTAGTTTGTTTTTAGAGCACCCCGCAACCTTGTTCTATTGAGTGAACGGTTGCGGAACACTGGATGTAAGGACCCTGTTCTGTCATGCCAAGGAAGACCCCTTCAAAGTGATAAAGTGGTGATGAAGTCACAGGGACTACAGAAAGACTTATCCACAACAATGATACTTACTCACTTTTTGCTCCGGATTCATCCGACTGAAAGCGGGCTGACCGAGGACCGGCAATTATTTGTTCGTTTGGTGTCGCCGCTTCGACGTTGCCCCGGGTAGCGCAACCCATACCAATTGGGAGAGTTCCTTTCAAGCCAACATATACATCAGCATATGCCAAAACTACATGGTTCAGGATTCGACCATTTCGAATCACCATTACGGAACGCTGCTTTGGAGATCTTTCTGCAGTTTTGGTTTTCCATCATGTTCCATCATGTGATCCCTTTTTGGGGGATCGGCTGCTGGCCCAGGCTCTTACTGAACCAAAAATTCGCTCGTGGATTGGTCCATTCACAGAACACCGTCGTCCTACATTTCCGGAGGGCCAGGTAGCTCCCCTGGTCGAAGAATGAGCACGCAACCCAGTCGGGCACCCCCCAAGGCTTCTTGCGAGTTCGCGAGACGCGAGGCTCCGCGCGGCGGTGCTGTTCCCGGGCTCGTCCTTTGGGGAGCTGGCGCTGGACACCTTTCTGCCGCGTCTGGGGGCCCGACACGACTTGACTGACTGGGCCGACCTGTGGGAAATCATGGGACGGGGGACCCGGGCGAGGTGTGAGGTGCGCTTTATGTCGGTGGTTCGAAGGTGGGGTCCAAGTGGTGGGTCCACTTGGGATTCTGAAGAACGTTCTTAGCTCATGGGTTTTGTCTTAACAATGACAGGGTAAGCTTTAGGTTCGGAGCAGGTTTCAGGCAGGTCCCGGAGGTGGTGGTTTTGGATGCACCCTTTCCTGCGGTTACAACACCCTTGCAGGAGGGGAAAGGGTTGGTCATGGAACTTTCAGTATGGTTAAGATAACAACTGCAAGGACTCTTATCGAGCCTTGCCCCTTGGCACATGTGTGTGTGTGTATTTTTTGGTTGGTTGAAAGCGACATCAAATGGAATGTCGCCATTGTGTGCGTCCCCCTATACATTGCCTCAAAAACGGTTGGCGGGCATTAATCATATGATCCGTAAGTCCCGTTTTGTGTACAAGAAGAGGGTCCTAACCTTTTGTGCTTTCGACAAAGCCGTCCAACTTCCATGGTTCGTGGGTGACTTTGCTGGAATGACGGCAGACCTGGGTTTGCCTCCAAACTTGGCGTTTGTTTCCCGAGCAAGTCTATGAAACATGGTGGTATGCCAATGGTTAGTTTCTCAAACACACAGAGCTGCAAGCACTCGCTTCTCAACACGAGTTTGTCGGCTCCTGTGGTTCAGGCCAGTGCACCGTGAAGTGCGAGGAGCGGTGCTGGGTGGCCAAACTCAGGCGAGAAGTTCCAGCGGCCAGGAGTCGATGGTGTTAATGGGAAAGGTGTCAAAAAGGGAGTGTCCAAAAATGGGGGAGCCCCCCCCCCCCAAAGAATTGGTTGGCTTTCTTTTGGCGTTCTTCGAAAGCAAGACCAGAAGGGACCCCTAGTGCAAGAAAGCCCCTATGCGTGGTGTGGTTGATGAATTCTGGAAAGGAATGCCCCCTAAAAGGGGCTTCCTTGTGAAGGGGGGGCAGGTGTTACTTTCGTGATTCATTTTGACCCAGGGTGAAAAGGCCCCTTGATCAATAGCGGGTGTCCCAGTTTTGGGTGGATTGCTCAATTTGGAAGAAGCACCCTGCTAATCATACACCAGTTGATTGGGGTCAACATTAACGTCAGCTTCGGATCAATCCAGAGGACCATAAAAACCAGAGGAAGCCCTAATCGATTCCCCAAGCGGAGCCACGCCAAGGCGTTCGTCACTTCAGTGGCAGCGCCGAGGGAATGTGACCACGAACTTTCTCACACTTTTTGCAACAGTGCCAGACTAAACAAAGACGTTTGCCCTTTTTGCCCTTCCTTCATTTTCCCTCTTAATCTTGACCTAGTCCGGCCATGTAACCGAACATGAAGATGCGGGAAGCAAACAGTTAAACTTTTCGCAGGGGCCTGGCCAAAGGGAGGGATTCTCACGTCACCTGTTTGGCCCATGTAAAATGAGTCTTCGGGGGAAATGTTTGGCCCCAGGTCGGGGCGATGTTTGGGGGGAAATGTAGGGAACCCCTCACTTGACGTGGGCGTGACCCGCTTCCAATTGTGTGACACCGGCCCCTTGGCGCCCCAAATCCCGCTGCCATCATACACCGTTTCAGAGCGGACTTGCAAAAAAGCCAGTGCAGCCTAAGAAGAACTGTTTCAGGCAACCCTTAGTTGGTGATTTGGATTGGCGAGTCTTGGTTGGATTGACCCATGGCTTTTGTAGAGGGTAAATGGGAAACGGCCCCGGAATACCAAGCCACCGGGCGCCAAACCACCAAGTAAAGGGAAGCCAGCGCCTAGGTGCCCTTCAAATCCATTAAGATCAGCCTTAAGAATCCACTTGCCTCTGGCAGATGCCAAACCAGGTCCTTGGGATGGCCAGGCTTTGGCATAGGATGTGGGGTCGGAACTGTTCCCCAAGCCCTGTGTTGAATGGTCAGTTGGACAGAACCAGCTGGTTCTGTGAAGGAAGGGGTATAGAACTCATCGGATGCACGGAACTCGGGTTCCGAGTTGTTTTCGGTGGCTAAAGAAGCACCCCTTTTCCATGACTCGCCTTCAACAAACATCCTAGATTGTCACGTCAGACTGTGACCAAAGGTAGCTGAAATGATTTGCTCTTCCCGCAGGAAGGCACTTTGCTTTGCGCCTCGATTCCTTGCCCACCGGCTTGCTGTTTTGGTTGTCTGAAACCTCAGAACTTGACAAAGATTCTGGCCTCTAAAGTAAGCGCTTTGCTTATTGCTCGGATTCCGCAAAACCTTTGAACAAATGGTATCCATGTGGATTCACACATGAGCCACTCAGCTATTGAGCATATGTCCATTTGCACGAAGTCCGTCTGTGCCATGTTGTCCTCAGATTTCTGCATGCCCTAAATCAGGGACTTTGTCTATGGTTGCGTGCTTTAGATTGGCAAAAATCTGTGTGAGTGACCACGGGTACACGAAATGCAGCAGTGATCAGAGTTGCATGCCCACTTTGGATTTTTGAAACATCTCATTCCTTTCACGAGCTCGGATGAACCGAGCCCACTAATATGAAGGCCCATGGGGCGAGGTACATCCTTCTTTCAGGTTGGAGAATGGCGGGTTTCCCTAGGGTTTTCAGGGATTCCTTTCTGATGTTTTTTGTTTGTTTGCCCAGAACCTTGCCGTGTGTGTAGGTCGTACACATGTGGGTTTTTGGTCTCAAACTGAGGGCCTCCCAAAATGGTTGGATCGGGTTGCGGTTGGTCCCTTCCAACCATCCCAAGAAGATGGCCGCACGGCCAGGCAGCAGGACTATCATCACATCCTCACGAGCCACGAGACAGGCCCAACGCTCGCTGTTGGGCAACGGGGGGAAGGGGAGAAGGAGCCGAAAAGACGCTCGCAGGTGGTTTTGGGGCCGTGCTAGAAAGGCCTAAACCAGGATTAGGATTTTCCGTTGCGCCTTTAAATGGGTGAGTCTGTTTTTGGTGGGCACCGTCTTTCGGAGGCTTTCAGGGGGACTCCAACGGAAAGCCGCAATTTCCGGGCTTCCCTACTCTAAAATACCCAGCCCCCCCCCCCCTCCCCAAGCCACCGCTTTTTCCCTATCGGACATCTTGACTGGGCAAAGGGGCAAGTGGGGAGTTCCACTTGAACGGCTCGACGTCACAAGTTTCACCAAGTCCAGGTTTGCCGACAGGTGGTTCACGCTGGTTTTCGACACAGTCACCCATGTTATGAGCAAACATGCGCTGCCGTTCGCATTATTAGCCCTAAACCAATGAAAGTTGGTCGATAGGATTTGTTTGCAAGGTTTTCCGAACGGGGCCAACAAACTAGCCTTTACGCGGCGTTCAACCCCCGATTTAGGGTGTTTTTGGCCGGCATTGTATTCTGGGGATGTTTCTCTGGGAGAGTTCCACTTGTGTCTAGGAAAATTCTAACGACCTGGTGTTTATTCATGTATGTGTGTGTGTTCAATTATCCAATTATTTGTTACTAAGTTTGCTTGTGTACAGATTCATTGTCATTTTTTGTTCCTTCCTTCCTTCTTCCCTTCCTCATCCGATCATTTCCTTTTCTTTCCTTTCCTGTTGTCTCCTTTCCTTTCCTTTCCTTTCGTTCCAGTCCTTTCCTTTGCATTCCTTTCCATCTCAGCGGCACAACCGAGTCAAAACCACATCTTCAAGTCTGAAACAAACAAAAAAGGAGAAACCCACAAACACACATCCATGTCTTTTCCTGGGCGTGCCTTTAAAAAAAGAAATGAACACACACCAAAAAAACAACAACAAGTTTTTCCTTTTCCCTCCGGGGGATCTCGCGCGTTGCACGGTGCGGCGCCCGGCGTGAGCCAACCCACAGGCCGGCGGCAGCGCTGGCTCGCCTTCGCGGAGGCTGCGCCGCTGCTCAGGGACTTGGAAGAGCCCGGGAACTCGAGCGAGCCACCGAGGATGGGGCGAACTTCGGCCGACAAAGACCGCGGGTTTCCATTTGCCAGGGTTCTATTTGGATTTGTTGGCTGTTGGTTCATGGTTAGCCCATTTTCCAGGGTGGAATTTGGATTTGGGGTGGCGATTTTTGGGGGTTTAGTCATTGGTTTCCGTTTACCAGGGTGGCATTTGGATTTGGGGCGCCTATTTTTGACCCGCCAGCTGAAAGGAGGGTTGCTCAGGGCAACGGGAAATCAGAGCCCCAACATGGGAAAAGGGGGTTGGGAGGGGGCTGGGGGTTGGGGGGGGGGGGGGGGTGTAGGCTAGAAACATGTTTTTGTTTTTTTGGTGGGGGGAAGATGGACACTTGAGGTCTCTTTGAAAAGGGGGGGGGGACGGGGCTTTTGGTGGGGAACAACCCAAAACCGGAAAACGGGGGAAGAGAGTGGGCACCACTGTTTCTAGGGAAGACTGGAAAGATGGTTGATCGAAAAACCATTGGTAATCGATTTGAAATTCTCATCCGAGAAGAATATCGTTCAGGTTAACTCGCTCCCCGCAGGAAGTGAGGGAAGCCTCAGTGGTTGTTCGTTACCTGAATCCTTCTGGACTTTGAACGTGTCCTTGAGTTGGTACCCTTTCCGGCCTTTTTTAAAGGAACATCAAAAAGCAAAACCATTTTGTTCGCTTTTTTTTTTTTGGGGGGGGGGGAGAGCTAGTTAAGAAAGACACACCACACATGGGACAACATTTTGGAAGTTCCGACAAGTTGTGGGGGGTTTCACCTTCATTTCTCGGGATACTTGAGGCTTGGGGTGCAGGTTTGGCGGTTCTAGGTTGCTACTTTGCGTGTGCTCCTAATAGGCGCTACTGTGGATGGAAACAACCTTTGCCAGTTGGTTGGTGGTTTATCCCAGCGTTCGCATCGGATTTTGTCCATCCACAGTATTTGTCACCAGCCGTTGGCCCCCCCCCCCTTTTGCCGCCCCCCGCGCTGGCGCGGGCGAGGAGGACATCACCATGAACCACCCCCAGCTTTTGATATGTGGCCCCGAAGGAACGACCCCGAACTGTGCATTTGGTTGTTCACAGCCATCTGGTTCCTGAGGTTTCTGGACATTTTGGATGGTGTAGTGGTTGGGGAATCCGGATTTAGCCCAAAAGTTAAACTCACTTTTGGCGATCGGGGATCAGACAACGGACGAACGCCCAGATCCCCGACTTGTTGGGGTGTGGGTCAACAACAGAGCCCAGGTAAATGGTAAAGAGGACTATAAGAACCCGCGGTGCAGATCCAGGTGCTTTACTTTTTAACTCATACCCATACAATAAAAGGTGTTGGACCCCCAAAAACTTTTTTGTTTTTTGAGATCTGAAAGATTTGTTAGGGTTGAAATCTTCAGGTTGATCAGGGCCCCTTCCAGTCGCCAAGGCCTGCGCGAGTGCACCTGGAGCCCCACTGCAAGTTGCTGCAGGCCTGAGAGCTCGTGAGCTCGTGAGCTCGTGGGCGCGCTGATTGGGTGGGACCTGGGGGCTATGAAATGAAAAAGACGCCTTACATCCCAATTCATGCCCTGCCGAACATTTCTGCCCAGATCCCTTCCAATGGAGATGTTTTTTGCTGTGGAGGATCTAATGATGCTTAGGGTGGTGCACAGTTGGACTCTCCCTTGAAAGCGAGGCAGTCTTCCAAAATGGGGCACACGAGCAGCAATGCTGGCTTGTACGTATGTAACGTAATGTAATGTAATGCAGTGCAATGTAGCGTAATGTAAGGTAATGTAACGTAGTGCAATGGAATGAAATGTAATGCGATGGAATGTAGTTTGTTTCCGAGTAATCGTTTGTTCGTTTGTTTGTTTTGTTTTGTATTTGTTTGTTCGTTCGTTCGTTCACTAATCTGTGGTTTGGATTTGTGGGGTTTGGGGTTAAGGAGGGGTTTCCCATGTACCCCCTAGAAGAAGCAGGGGTTCGAATCCCCAAATAATCCAAGCCACCAATTAGTTTCTCGTTTCTTCGTTCGTTCCTTCGTTTGTTTGTTTGTTTGTTTGTTTGATTTTTTGCTCTGTTCCTTTGTTCGTTTGTTCGTTCGTTAGCTAGTTAGTTAGTTAGTTAGTTCGTTAGTTACTTAATTAGTTCCAGTTTGTTTGTTTTTGATGCTACCAACATTGTAAAGGCGTGCACTATTGATTCTTGCAGGATCCAGTTGACTCGTGAAAGCGTCACAGTGGCAGCCTCGAGCTGAGCACAGATAGGCAGCTCAACTGCCTGGTCTAAGACAACATGCAAAGGATTTTTTAAAGGAAGCTCCTTGTTTTAGTTGGTGCAACCACCATCTACAGGAGGTTCTACAGGAGCTCATTTTCCTTAGGGGGGGTCTTTCTGGGCTTTGTGAAAGTTGCATTGTATTTTGATCAAAGTTGGTCATGGATCCTTGAGCATGTTGCTTACGCACATTGCAATGGATCTGTGCCATGTTTTGGATGTAGCACACCCATTTGAGGGTTCTCCAAATTATTTTGGTGTCCGTTTCCCCACCGAAGAAATCTGTGGCGCTCGTTCGGTGGACTTCCGCGGTCTGATTTTGCCGTGAGTGTTCGTGAGACCTGTGTTCAAGCTGCAACCAACTGGAGCGCTTGCCGAAAAGCCAACAGGACAAGAACCGATTCTGATGGAACAAAAAAAGCAGTACGAGACCCTAAATTGGTGGGCTGCCGTGTAGTTTCACTTTGAACGCCAAACAGGTCGTTCCCCCCAAAAAGGTCCATGTGGGGTGTTGGTTGGACAACCAATCCTGCAGCTATGGATGAACCCCCCAAAAAAAAGGGGACTCAAGATCAACTGGCGGAGCCGATCGGGGTCTGGAAAAACTGAGCCAGAGTTCTTTCTGGGTGGGTTTGGGGTAGGATGGGAGGGTTGGTTGAAGCTTAAGCTCCCCCACATCCACTTGGGTTGGATGGGTTTTGGGGTATGGCTTTCCGGGTTTCAGGGTCGGAGGCCTGGCTTTGTGCAAGACATGCGTGAAAACGATCCGAAGCTAAGGGGGGGCCTCTTTGGCGGGAGCAAAGCTGCCAGTCCGTGCAGGGTTTCCCTGCCAGACCAAGCGTCATTCTCTTTTTGAGAGATCGAGTCTCACCGAAACTCAGATCGCCAGGTGTCCAAGGGCCAAGAGGCGCGTCTCGCGAAGTCTTGCGGTTTCGGCGGGAAAGGAAGGGACGCCTCAGCAGGCGAGCCAAGTGAGAACCAGGAACTTCTTTTTTTGTTTTGGGGGGTAGGGTTGTCAATCAATATAAGTGGTCGAATGGGTACCAGCATTTGCTATCGTGCCTGAATTGAAGGGAACGCATTGGGAGGGACATGGGGGGCGAGCCCGAAGTTTCCCATAAACACCCCGGGACGAGCACTAAACTTTCCGTGTTCTTTACAACGGCATTTTGACCTTGAATTTCATCAGGACATGTGTGGGGTACTCACCAATTTTCAAAGTCAGCTGGAACACGATGCATACTACGCGTGTCTCATTGAGACATCACCAGGGAGGCGAAGAGAAGCTTACGCCAAACTAAATCCGAAGAGGTGATGTTTACCGCCCCCCTCCCCTCACGAATGTTCATTCTCTTATTGAATTTGGCTGTGGCTTACACCCAGAATCAAAAAGCAAAAAGGCGACCTGGATGTTGCCCACTTAGTAAGTGTGGCAATCAGACTGTTACGGCCTAGACACTAAAAGTGCAAATCTTAAATGCCAAACTGGCCTCAAAGCTGGCAAAGGGACCGGCCTGGTTATAATTGGGGCGAACAGGTCAACGTGGAACATCATTCATCTTTGCTGACTTCAACCACTGCCCGTTTTCTTTTTTTTTTCCGATTTCGCGGACTCCCGGGTTTTTAGGTCACCCTTAGTGCTTGGGGGTTGGCGGATTTTTCGCTCCCTTGCTACCCTCAAGCAACTGGGGGGTAGCTCCACAGCTCCACGCCGAAAAACGACACCCAGCAGTTGGGACTCGGCTTTTCTTGAGGTAAAAGAAGCTCCATTTCTCAGGGCCCCTGGTCTCCGTAAGAGAACCGCAACCAGAGCCGCCGTTTCTTGGTTTTTTTTTCAAGTACATTTTTGATCTTATTGTGGTTTAGTGGTTGAAATCCAAAACCACTTGGCGGCTAACATTTGAGGATTTTTGCTCCCCAAACCCAACATCAACCAAGGTTTTCGGTCGGTTGGATCAAGGTCGACCTTGCCAGGTCTGCCAGCCTGGGGAGCTCGAGGCCTCGTCGAAACCTCGAAACCCGAAAGCGGGTCCGGTCCGGGGTGAGCTTGTGGCCGAGTTGTGTGTTTTGCTGTTTGAAGCAGCCAACGAAAGCAAAGATAGCTCCGTTTTTTTTTTTTTTTGCGTTGGTTACGTTGCTCAAAACGCCTTCAACGCCGTTTTGGGTCGGCGGATTTGCATTTCTTTTTGTTTTGTGAAGCGGCGACTTCAAAGATAGCTCTGAGATTTGGGGTAGAAAAACAGCGCCCGGCCCGGCAGGAAGAGGCTTTTAAAGCGCTTTAAAGCAGCTTTGCATGTAAGATTCAAGATTCATTCCCAGGACTCTAGATCTTGAATCTTGAACCCTCCTGCACACCTATTTCTGGATGCAAGATTCACAATTGCCCAGGAAACCATTCTTCAAAATCTTTACACCAGAGAGTTTATGAAGCCATTTTACTTTGGTTTTACTGCTATTTAGACTACTGCACCATAGATGTACAATTACTGCTATTTAGATTTCCAGATACCGGTATTTAGACTCTGGACCCAAGACCTAAGATTGCGGGGGACCCCTGAAATCTAAATACAGGTTTTTAGACTTCTACATTCCAGACCCTGGATCCAAGATTCAAGAGATTGCTGGGGACTTTTGGGGAAATCTGGGATCCGTATATACCCCCGCCCCCCCCCCCCGAAATCTAGATACCGGTTTTTTAGATTTAAAATTGCCACGTATTTAGATCCTGGACCCAAGATTCAAGCAATTGAGGGAAAAGGGAGTCTGGATTCAAGGTCCATCAAATTATGTTACTCCCCATTTCTCATACACCTTAATACCGATATTAAGATTGATGTGTACCTTCATTTAGACTCCTTTATTTAGATTCTTGAATCTTGAAGCCCATACTTTCCTTATTAAACAAAAAACACAGACATGTTGTGATCAAGCCGTCTCAGGCTATCGGCAATCTTGGCTCCCTCACTCACTCTACATCCATAGCACAATATTCATATCTGGAGATCAGCCCTCTCCATCGCGCCTCTGGCAACCAAACAAGGGAGATCAGCCTAATACGCATAGGTGTCCTTTTTGGTTGTTTTGACCGAACACATAGCAGGGTTTCGATTCCTGGGATACCTGGTGGTTTAATCATCTACCAGGGAAACCCATCTATTTGCCCCAAAAGGACACCTGTGCTAATTCCGGGGATTTCTCCCCCGTTTTTTCGAGGGAAGCAGCCCTTGGGACTGAAGATCGCCCCCTCCCCCTAGCGGGACGGGACCCGGGACCCACCCACAGTCTGCAATTTAAGGCCCGGCTGTGTCGTTGTTTGAAGGTTCCCCTGACCTTTCTCAAGAGCAGTAAAAGGAAACCGCTCATGGTTAGGGTTTCCTCATTTGCTCGCCTGAGCCCCAGGTTGTGAGGGGTCTTCCAGTGGGAAAAGTTGGGAAATTGGGGCCTGCAAGAAAGAGGAGGTGCTCGTGGCAATGCCCAAGTTTCAGGAGCCGTGTTGTTCCTCTCCTAAGCAACTCCAGTCAAGTCTACAGAACTTAGAAAGCGAGGGGGAAAACGAGCTCAACGATGAAGGTCCTTGTTCTATTTCCGGCTTGTGAATAACAGTAATTTGCCCAGATCTGATACCGATGGAACCCCCAGTGCGCAAACTGCATACTTGGATCACTCATTTGGGGGTCGTTGTTCGAGCACTTGTTGAAAAGAGCCAGGAAACCCGAATGCAACGCTCCGCAGATGGTTCTGAATTTGGGAGGGCGACAACGCTTGAGGTCTTCAGGGTGTGACCAACGTTGACAAAGCCAGCCTCGTGTTATCAAACAACCAGGACACGTTTTAGTCAAGGACCGGTTGAATCGCACTCTGCGCATTCCGTCAACAGGAGACAACGAAGGACTAGGACTTGTGCGCCACTCACGTTCCCCAACCTGTGAAGGACCTGCAAAAGAATAGATGTGCGTGGGAGATTGGGGTGCGGGGTGGCCCGAAGCGTCCTAAAGCCTCTCAACAATCCATTGGTCTTAGTCTACTTCATGGCAATGAAGCCACGCGTTCGGGCTGCTTTCGGCTCCCGTGCTATCTCGCAGGTCTGTCGGGGCCGAGCCAACTGCTTCGCCGCTTTTGAAAGTAGACGAAGTCAGTTTCCTTCATGGCCCCACGCTCACAGATGGCAGGCGCCAGTTGCGCTTTCCGAGCGTTTCTTGAGATCCGACCTAACGCGAGACTGCAAATTCCGCGAATGTCCCGCGGGCCTTAGTCCCACGCGCCCCAACCGACTTTCCGCGCCACGCTGCGCCTTTGGTTGTCCGAAGCTGCGCGGCGCGCAGGTCGTGTTCTTGGCCGAGGGCTGCTTCGAGGTTTCTTTGCCAGGACTGGCAGGGAAGACTGGGCATGTTCCGGGTGGCAAAGCTCGTGCCGTTGATGTTTGCCGGCAAAGGTCGTCCAAAACAAAACAAAACTAAGGCAGCGCAGTGTTTTTCTGCGGCTCAGGGAAAAGGAAGCCACGTGCTTTGGCCCCCGCCAGTATGGGACAATCGTTTGGCCCCATGCGGGCGGTCATCATATGCAACGCCAGCCTAAGCACAAAGGGGCCAGGATTGGATAGGCAAGACTTCTAAGCCTCTGGTTGCGACGTAAACACAGCTCCCAGCTAGGCTCGCAGGTCCTACAGTGGGGCATGTCCGCACGTGATGCGTTGCTGACGTTTAGAATGAAGGGGGGCTTCTAAATTCAAACTCGGAAAACATGGACAGCTTGACGTGTCAGGTAACATACACATGGGCATAATGCGCGTGCAGACGACGGCTTGCGGATCTTTGAAACGGTTCGCGTCAAAGATGAGCTGCGCACGTTGCCAGAACATTATTGAGACAGGCCCATCTCCCTCAACCCCCATAGCTTGTTCTGTAATGTTAACGTCGCGATCCCCAACGTTCTCGTATCTGGTTGGTCAAAAAAGAAGGTGCTTCAAGTTGAGCCCTTGACATTCGCACAGGGCGCCTCCCCAAAGCAAACAGTTCAATTTTTCAATTACCGTCGCGTTCCCAACGTTCTCGTATCTGGTTGGTCAAAAAAGAAGGTGCTTCAAGTTGAGCCCTTGACATTCGCACAGGGTGCCTCCCCAAAGCAAACAATTCAATTTTTCAACTACCGTCGCGTTCCCAACGTTCTCGTATCTGGTTGGTCGAAAAAGAAGGTGCTTCAAGTTGAGCCCTTGACATTCGCACAGGGCGCCTCCCCAAAGCAAACAGTTCAATTTCTGTCGCGTTCCCAACGTTCTCGTATCTGGTTGGTCAAGAAAGAAGGTGCTTCAAGTTGAGCCCTTCACATTCGCACAGGGTGCCTCCCCAAAGTAAACAGTTCAACTTTTCAATCAGGGACACCCCCAATCAGCGTATTCCACTTCCCACAAGACCTGCCATTTCACCAGCGTTCTGATGGCAAATTCTCGCGCCGCTTTGCTTTTCCAGGCACCAAGAACCGCCAGGCCAGACATCCGATCAGGTTGTCGCGGCTTTCTGACCTCAAACCAAAATGTCAAACCCAGGAATTAGGACTCATGTCCCATTCAATTAGGTTGCGACAGGGAAGCAACCAATCGACAGAGCTACCAGGGCCTGATTTCACTGAGACGTTTTGACATTTAAGTGTTGTTTTTGGTTGGTGGCAGCTGGGGCCACAAAATTTCAATCGTTTGGACATGATTCAGGTTACGCCACGAGCTCAAGGCGTTTGGCCCAAAGCAAAGAGCGTTTGAGGGGGGTTGGTCAAGGTAGGCCGTTTGCTATTGCCTCCTTTTTTCGTTCCCGCAGCAACGCAAAGTCCAACGAGCTCCAGGGTAGCGGAACTGCCTTTTAACTGAATGACGATCTTTCTTTGGCGCAGATTTGTTTCTTCTTCTTAACTCTTTGCCGTTGCCAGACACGCCGTTTTCGGTTTCCTTTATTTTCTTTTTTGATCATCAAACAGTCTGCTGGCGGCTGGGCTTGAGGCCAAATTGTGTTGGTCAACCTTGACCAACCCAGTGCTGCAAATGCCCGAGCCGTTGCCATTTGTGGCTCGCAGCTGGCACTTTTTCGCCAAGATGGCACTGGGCGACGTGGGGGTAACAGTCCTGACAGAGAAACAAACTGGAAACCGGGCCTCAAAAAAGGTTTCCCATGGTCAAATCTGCTGTGTTGTCTCCTGTTTTTTTTTGTTTTTTTTTTTTTTCAAAATCTTTGTTTGCTTTGTGGAATTGAGAGAGGTCTTCGAGCGGGCCATAGCAAAGTGTGCCCGCTTCGCGCGTTGGACTTCCCCAAAACCCGCAAAAGAGCAGGATATCTCACTGCCGCAAACCCTGAGTTGACCCCTCGATCGCGTTTTCATCCATGAGTGAAGGTTCCACAAGGCCAAGCTTTGCGTCTTTCGGGAGCGGGATTAATAGGAGTGGTTCTGGGCGCATGAGAGGGTCCAATTAATCTGTGTTTTGGCCGACTCAGAACTGCAGGGTTTGGCCAAATTTGCTTAAATCAGACCTTGGTGCCCTGTAAACGGAAACCAACAAGAGGTTTAAACAATTCTGAAGGTTGATTTCCCCTCTTTAAAATCGCTCTCTTTGGGAAACCCAAAGAGGGGAAGGTAGGCCTAACACAATAGTGGCTCGAGATGGCAGAAACATAGTTAAACAAGGCAACACGGGCGTTTAGGGCCCCCCACATGTCCGTGTTGGCTTAAACAAGGGAGGCTTCAGCTGGCACTGCTTGTTTCACGTTGTCCCTTTGGCGCTAGCTGGCGGCCACAGGCCAATATTTTTGTTTTGCGCTAAAGCAGCGCTACGGGTTCCTTACCTCAGTTCTTGATTCTTGCAGTGCTCAGTCGGGAATCGTTTGAGGGGTTTTGGGACTGAACCTGATCTATCAGGAACCCAGGATGTTTGGGGTAGGATTTAATGCCAACTTCCGGAGGCCCTAGTCAGAGGAACCAGCTAAAATAGATCATGCCCCTACACGGGCAACCACCCCTGATTAGTAGGGTCCTCCAGAAGAATCCGAAGTTAGCACTATTTCAGGTATCCCTTGATTGGCGGTTTGGGATTGGCTGTTTGGATTTGGATTTGTCCACTTAGAGGTAAGCTGAGACTTCACTTTCAACTCTTGAAGACCATCTCAAGCAACAAGTTGCGACGTTCCTTTTTCGGCGGTAGAACAAGGGACCTCCGCTTCGCACCACTATCACCACTTGGGATGGATACAATTGTGGCTACTGGGATATGCTGAGGTAAACCGCCTACCCACTGCAGGTTTTTGTCCATCAGTATGCTGTGGTGTTTTTTCACACCTCGACAAATTCAGGTGAGTTTACTTTGAGGCAATGCTCTGGCGACAGGCCATGAAGGCTCCATTTAATTAGATGCCACTGTAGCGGACCACAGGGTCTTACTCAGTACGGGTGGGTTAGGTTGAAAGTGGTGTATATCAGCCCCCCGTTTCTTTGTCATTGAGGTCGAAAACTGCATATGTATATATATATATATATAATATATACATATGTATATATATATATACACATGTTACAAGGCCAGCATATGAAACATAATCCGGCTATATAATTTTTGGAGCTTCCCAGGGCCAGAGATCAGCGCCTTTCGGATCCCATGGTGTGCCTTTGGCGTCCGCCTCAAATGCGCGCGCGGCCAGCGCGCGCCTCGCTGGCCGCGGTGAATCAGCCAGCTGCTCAGAGCTCGCTTCTTCAGATCTAGACCTCCCGTTTGTCCAATCGCAGTTTTTTGGCTCGGTTCCAGTTCAACTGGTGCTGATGGTGTTGTTTTTTTTGGTTTTGTTTTCGGTGCCTCGTGTTTTATGTTCTTCTTTTTCTTTTCTTCTTCTTTCCTTTTGTTTATTTTGCTGGATGTCCCTTCATCAACTGGCGGTGCTCTCCTCCTTCTTCTTCTTTTTGGGGGTGGGTTTGTACCAAAGAGGCTCGCCTTTTTTAGCCACGGAAGGACCACCAGGCTTCGCACTGCCATCGTCTGAACCGATGATTTGGGTACTATATGTTCAGCCCGTGTGAGGCAAGCAGAGAATGCCAACCCCTGCTGGGGAGGCGTCTTGTTTTTCCCTTAACGGGCCATTTTGGCAGGTTTTTGTTTGCTCGGACCGTGTTTAGTCCACTGACCTGAAAATATGCCCTTCACGCCAAGAGGGTATGAGTATAGATATGGCCTAGCATATCAACCACCCCATGGGTGACCGCCTCCGATGGTTGAGCCTTGCCTTACCGGTGAGCATGGCGTTTGCCTTTCACCTTTGAGAGATGGGTGCTCCGAAGTCATGCATGAAACCAGAGAGAGGTGGCCTCTCCCCCTCGCCCCAACAAAAAAAACATAAATTGGTCGGCTTCTTTGGGGATCCTTGCATTTTCCTTGGGCCTCACTATGGGATATGGGGTGTGCCTCTGAGTTCCCCTCTTGGGTAAGGACCCAAGGTCACCTCTTTTGAGGTCGTCGCCCAAAATGGCTTGGGTTTTCCAGTTGGTTTTACGTTAAAAGCACCACACAAACTGGTACCCTCAATAAAAAGACACACCCAAGTACCCACTGGAAAAGCATGATTTGCTGGTTACTTACAAAGGGTGAGACGATAATCAAAGACCACGGCAAACAAACTTTGCTCGGAGAAGGCGTTCTACCACTTTTCTAGAAACAAAACAAATAACACACACACACACACAAATTTTCCACTTCTGGCCTGTTGGGTGGCGGCAAGGCCGCCCGCCGCTGTTTTGTCGCGACCGGCTCAAGTTGCGGAGCGGAAGACCCGGCGCCATGCAGCGCTTGTGTTTCGCAGTGGGCCTATGGGCCGCCAGTGCGCAGGAGGCAGGCTGCGGGTTGAGGTTTTCCATGTCGACGGGAGCCCACAGGAGGTGGGGGTTTCTTTGAGGTTGCTGGGGTTCAGGAAGTCCAGAGGAACACCCCTGAACATATTCTACATAGAAAAGCGGGCCAAACAAGCAAAAGGGTTCCCAAGCCACACCCAAATGTATGAATGTGCAAGTGGGAATTGGTCGGAAATCATTTACATGGGGATTCATGTCCACCAACCTTTTTCCAGGGCGTTCTTTGTAGCCCTTTGAGCAAGTGTATCTTTTTGTTGAGCCAAGAGGAAGGCAGACCAGAAGCTTGGGCATGCCCGTACTGCAGGGGGAAAAGCATGACACCCAGCCGCGCGTTGTTCCTTTTCCTGTGGCGTATCCTTCATCCCCTGGCTGTTTGTGTCCTTAGTGGCTGGATGACAACTCAAAACACAAGTTGATCGGACGCAGGCTGGGTAAACATCTCGTGTGGTCAAAACACCGGCGATCATATGTCTACCCTGGTGTCAAAGTTCTTTGGAGCAACCCAGTGAATTGAGTAGATCATTATTTATCCAGAATGTCGATTTAGTTTAGTTGCGTTGGCTTTGCGGCGAAAGCTGAAGCCGGCAATGCACGGCGCATTGCTTAAGCTGCTCTTTGGCTTGACTCAGCATTTGGTGAACACGACCGCATCTTCGCAAAAAGAAATGCGAACAACAAACACGTTTTACAGTCCCAAAGAGCTGTGACTGCGGGGTTTGCCTGCCGTACTGTGGGACTGTGGGTCATCGCAAAATTGCGAACAACAAACACGTTTTACAGGAATAGTCCCAAAGAGCTGTGACTGGGTTTGCCTGCCGTACTGTGGGTCAGGGGCCATGCGGCGAGAGTCTGAAAGGTTCTGTCTGGCCTTCTTAGGTCAATTTGGTTGAAAATAGATCTGGTTCTACTCATTTACCACTGCAATTTATTTTCCCAAAAGGACACCTATTGTCCAGATAAGATGCCCTGTGAACTGCATCTTGTACAGGTTACCAAGCCCAACGACGCCGCGACCAAGTCCTTGCGTGGCAGTTGGACCAATGGCAACTGGCAGATTCCGACTACTCCTGGCCAAGGTGGCGATGGTGGTGCAGACACCACGGGGGGCAATGGCTGGACCGACGCCAATGGCAACTGGCAGATCCCCAGCATTCCTGTCCAGGGTGGCGATGGTGGTGAAGGCACCACGGGGGGCAATAGCTGGACCGACGGCAATGGCAACTGGCAGATTCCCAGCATTCCTGGCCAAGGTGGCGATGGTGGTGAAGGCACCACGGGGGGCAATAGCTGGACCAACGGCAATGGCAACTGGCAGATTCCCAGCATTCCCGGCCAAGGTGGCGCTGGTGGTGAAGGCACCACTGGGGGCAATAGCTGGACCGACGCCAATGGCAACTGGCAGATCCCCACCAGCATTCCTGGCCAAGGTGGCGATGGTGGTGAAGGCACCACGGGGGGCAATAGCTGGACCGACGGCAATGGCAACTGGCAGATTCCCAGCATTCCTGGCCAAGGTGGCGAGGGTGGTGAAGGCACCACGGGGGGCAATAGCTGGACCGACGGCAATGGCAACTGGCAGATCCCCAGCATTCCTGGCCAAGGTGGCGATGG